GTGGGGAGAGACTGGGTGGAGGTGTGGGCGGCCGTACATCAATACCTGTCATGTTGTATACTCGTCCATGACATATATGCATCTCTCTCTCTCTCTCTCTCTCTCTCTCTCTCTCTCTCTCTCTCCACCTGTGTAACACTGTATTTTTGTTTTCCTCTCTACCTTCCCCTTCTCAGCTGTTATCACCCATCACTACACCCTCTTCCTCTTTTACATCTTCATTTTCCTCCCCTTCCTGTCTTCTACCTCCCCCCATTCCCTTTCTCTCTCTTCCATTATTTTTTCCCTTTCACCCTTTTTAGCATCTCTCTCTCTCTCTCTCTCTCTCTCTCTCTCTCTCTCTCTCTCTCTCTCTCTCTCTCTCTGGTTCTCTCTATAACAGAGGAAGTGAATGGATACGAGGCGCTGATTAGTAGAATGACAACGAAGCTCTGACTGGGAGACTAAACTACGCTTTGATTGGAGTGTAAAACGAAACGATGATTGGAAGAGAATGTAAAGGAAACGACGATTGGATTACATACGTTAGATCGAGGGTCCGTTAGATGTTAAACCCCCATATAACGGACTCCATACGTTAGATCGAGGGTCCGTTAGATGTTAAACCCCCATATAACGGACTCCATACGTTAGATCAAGGGTCCGTTAGATGTTAAACCCCCATATAACGGACTCCATACGTTAGATCGAGGGTCCGTTAGATGTTAAACCCCCATATAACGGACTCCATACGTTAGACCGAGGGTCCGTTAGATATGAAACCCCCATATAACGGACTCCATACGTTAGATCGAGTCCGTTAGATGTTAAACCCCCACATAACGGATTCCATACGTTAAATGTTAAGCCCCACATAACGGACTCCAGACGTTAAACCCCCACATAACGGACTCCAGACGTTAAACCCCCACATAACGGACTCAAGAAGTTAAACCCCCACATAACGGACTCCAGACGTTTGATCGAGAGTCCGTTAGATGGAGGTTTCACTGCATATAGATAACTGTAACACTCAGACGGACCCACGCCAGCACCACACTCTGACATATGACCTGCCATTGTTAGTATCTTCCTCCCTCCCTCCCTCACCCTGCCTTTCTGCTTCCCTCACTCACTCCCATCCTCCTCTCCCTCCCTCCCACTCTCCCTTCCCTCCTCCCTCCCACTCTCTCCCTACCTCCCTCCCACTCTCTCCCTACCTCCCTCCCACTCTCTTCCTCCTCCTCCCTCTCTTCCTACCTCTCCCACTCTCTTCCTACCTCCCTCCCTCTCTTCCTACCTCCCTCCACTCTCTTCCCTCCTCCTCCCACTCTCTCTTCCTACCTCCCTCCCCTCCTCTTCCCTCCTCCCCTCCCTCTCTTCCTACCTCCCTCCCACTCTCTTCCTACCTCCTCCCTCTCTTCCTACCTCCCTCCTCTCTTCCCTCCTCCCTCCCACTCTCTTCCTACCTCCCTCCCTCTCTTCCTCCTCCTCCCACTCTCTTCCCTACCTCCTCCTCTCATTCCTACCTCCCCTCCCCTCTCTTCCCTACCTCCCTCCCCTCTCTTCCCCACCTCCCCTCCCACTCTCTCTTCTCACCTCCCTCCCTCTCTTCCCCTCCCCTCCTCCCTCTCTTCCCTACTGCCCTCCCACTCTCTTCCTACCTCCCTCCCCTCTCTTCCTACCCCCCTCCCCTCCCTCTCTTCCCTACCTCCCTCTGCTCCTCTTCCTACCTCCCTCCACTCTCTTCCTACCTCCCTCCCTCTCGCCCCTACCTCCCTCCCACTCTCTTCCACCACTCCCTCCCACTCTCTTCCTGCCTCCCCTCCCTCTCTTCCTACCTCCTCCCACTCTCTTCCCTACCTCCCTCCCTCTCACCTCCTCCTCCACTCTTCCCTACCTCCCCTCCCTCTCTTCCTACACCTCCTCCCACTCTCTTCCTACCTCCCTCCCCTCTCTTCTACCTCCCTCCCTCTCTTCCCTACCTCCCCTCCCATCTCCTACCTCCTCCCTCTCCTTCCTTCTCCCTCCCCTCTCCTTCCTTCTCCCTCCTCCTTCCCTACCTCTCATCCTCCCTCCCACGTACGAGTAGCTGGCACCAGGAACAAAATTAAAAGCCTTCCCTGAGAGAGAGAGAGAGCCCACCCGTCAACCAACCTTCACCCCGACTGCCTTAACCCTTATCCCTCCTGGACGTTTTCCTAAGCTGAATAAAACCCTAAAGTGAGACAATCGCCGAGAAAGGGTTAACACACAGCACAGTTAGGAAGTAAACATAGGTATACATAGTTATACCCAGGCGAGTTGGAGTATACTGACCATGTATACAGAAATTATTGATATAAATATTCCCCAAGTACAGTCAGGAAACGTGCTAACTGCGGTAACCGGACACAACTCAAAGCTCCTTTTGGCATTTCTTCATGATCTTGACCTTTGATGTCCGGATCTGATGCTTGCCGTCACAGTGCCTCGCAACGAAACATATATGCATAAATTTCATCATTTCACCTTGAGAGGTTTAGGTGTAACGAACTGACGAGTGGTGCCGGGAAGACTAATGTGTTGATGACATTTGCAGGTATACAAGGTTTTCCTACTACGGTGCTGGTGGCCGGGCAGGTGTTGATGTGATTCCTAGTAAAGTATTCAGTAGCTAGTGTGGGCTGCTCCACCATCTTGGCAGGATGCTAGTTCACCCAAGGGTTGTTCCACTATCGACAAACTCATCTGACACTGTACTCACATATATATATTCCTGCATGTAAAAGGGTTATTGTACAAGCCGGGAACCCAGTCCTCCCATCTGCCCAGTAAACGTATCCGAGTCACTACACTTGAGGTAAATACTCTACCACTAAACAACGAAATCATTCTAAACAACATATACATAAACTAAACAAGTGTCACCCAGGTTAATGAAGTGTCCATCACCTGGCTGTGTGTTGATTGTTGCGTCACACCCTTGATTACAGTCCAGCGGCCACATCAATTTTTTTTCTGTTGTCTGAATGGCTGAGTGATAATGCTGACCCTTTATCGTCTCTTTGTTACCTTGACCAAACTGTTGTAAAATAATGTTTAACCTTTAATATTTGTTCACGTCAAGGCTTAGTGACTTTTTATGTCATCAACTTATTTTTAACAGGTTTATATACATGAGTTAAATAAATGGTGTATATATTGACATTATACACACATATACTATTCTCTGTACGGGCGCGCGCGGGTGTGTGTGTGTGTGTGTGTGTGTGAGGGTAATACGGTAGGAATCACCATCAGACTAAATCCTACCTGGCAATTTCACCATCCGATTCAATTTCACCTCCTCAAGTACCTATCGACTCTTCTACCCCTGTTAGGCTAGGTTACGTTATGTTACGTTATGTTGGGTTAGGTTCGGCTAAATGTTACGGCAACGTTAAGTTTGAATGACTTAGGTTATGTTGGTTTTTATTATTAAGCTAAGCAGTTTATACGTGGATAGAGTAAACTTATGTTAGGTTGAGGTCTGACTATAAGCATGAAGGGTTGGAGTACAATAGACGGTTAATAAGCTGGACAAACCAAACTAGACAAGTGACACACTAAGCCAAGGTCATGGTAAGAGCTTAACTGTCAGTAGTGATGTAGTAGTTCTTATGGGGACTTGTATGTCTGTCTCGACCTTCGGGTGACTTATGGACGGTTCTTTGGCCGCGTCAGTCAGCCCAGAGTGAGTCTTTTATCATCTGATTGGAAGCGTTTTCCCTCCCCCCGACAAAAGAGTTTTTTTTATATTAAGCCTGGGTTAACGAAGCCAATTCCCCCCCTCACACACACGTTTAGGTACAAAAACTAAACACAGAAACAAATAATAATAATAATAATAATAATAATAATAATAATAATAATAATAATAATAATAATAACAATAATAATAATAAAAACTCAAACGAATCAGAAATCAACGTCCCAATCCGCCTTAACTACACGGGCCTAAAAATGTCTTGGAAATTTTGACGGTAACAGAACACATGCAAGTACTATACAAGGTAAGTAGCTAAGAGAGCGTGACACTGCGGAAAATATTGACTATCGGGAATCCATGCCTTAGAGGGCCAGGGGGGTGACTATGTGACCCCAGCACTTGTGTACAAGAGACCACACCTTAACTCCCTAGAGCACTTTGGGGTCTGTCCTATAATAATACGTTTTCTCTACACGTCTATCACAAGTAAAACAACATAAACATTCTGATAAAACAACAACAACGAAGAAGGTTAATAATAAATAATAATAATAATATACCTGACGCGTTAAATCCCATCCCACCCCCCATCCCTACTTTAACTGCTGGTACTAAAACTCATCTACCTGGCTCAGTTACCCTCAGAATATCAAGGGAACAAAACGGCTTTAAAACCACAACGAAACTCTTGGCCGCCCAGATAACAAGGAATAATTACCTATGGGCTTAAGATATTACATTCTCCACGTCTTGGATTCACAAAGTACTTTACCTTATCACCTTTGGGCTCAGTGAAAGTAAAAGGGTGTTGTTATAATTCTAATGCCATTTTGTATGTTAATTTTTTTTTATGCCTTAGTTTAAATGAGTTAGTTTGTTGATTTGTTATGTCTCAATTTACGAGGGAAATTTAACTTAAGATCTTTTGTGGTAATTTGAGTTAGAAGGAAAATTAACTTTTGAGACCTTTTGTAAATTTGAGTTAAAAGGAAAATTAGACCTTTTCCAAATTTGAGTTTGGAGGAAAATTAACTAAAGACTTTTTTTGTAAATTCGGACTAGAAAGAAAATAAGACCTTATGTAAATATGAGTTACGAGGAAAATTAACTTAAGACCATTTTGTAAATTACCCGATACAGTTGAGTACAGCCCCCATATCACCCCCCACCAGCGACAAGATCCCTGAGTATGATATCAACAAACCTCGTTAGTGTAGAGATGGAGGGAGAGAGATAGTGACTGTTTCATTAACTCTGAATTATTTATCTTGGATACGAGAGGGAGAGGGTTATGTGGGACAGTGATACGAGGGACAATGAGACGAGGATCAGTGAAGCGTGGAACAGTGATACGAGGGACAGTGGGACGAGGAACGGTGGGACGAGGGACAATGAGACGAGGATCAGTGAAGCGTGGAACAGTGATACGAGGGACAGTGAGACGAGGATCAGTGAAGCGTGGAACAGTGATACGAGGGACAGTGGGACGAGGAACGGTGGGACGAGGGACAATGAGACGAGGGTCAGTGAAACGCGGGACAATGGGACGAGGAACAGTGGGACGAGGAACAGTGGGACGAGGAACAGTGGGACGAGGAACAGTGGGACGAGGGACAATGAGACGAGGATCAGTGAAACGCGGGACAATGGGACGAGGAACAGTGGGACGAGGAACAGTGGGACGAGGGACAATGAGACGAGGATCAGTGAAACGCAGGACAATGGGACGAGGAACAGTGGGACGAGGAACAGTGAGACGAGGGACAATGAAACGCAGGACGAGACGAGAATCAGTGAAACGCGGGACAATGAGACGAGGATCAGTGAAACACGGAACAGAGACGCAGAATAGTGAAACGTGGAACAGTGAAATGCGAAACAGTGGGACGCGGAACAGTGAAACGTGGAACAGTGAAACGCGGAACAATACAGAACACAAGTAACATTATTGGAACACGTTGTTGTAGAAGACTCACCTGCAGACTATACCCCCCAGCTTAATTTACCTTAACACTATTTGGGGGAATGAGGTTAGGTTAGGTTTTATTAGACAGGTTGAGAGAGAGAGAGAGAGAGAGAGAGAGAGAGAGCCGCACTGCCCTCCGCCTCCCTCTTGTGGACGAATAAAAGCGAGGAAATCATCTCATTATACAAGAGACATTAAAGTTGCTGAACACCAGATTGAGCGTCAAAAGTCATCCATAACCCACAACCTGATCTTTCTAACAGTACTTGTGAGGGGGAAAAACAACAGACAATTTACGGGAAAAAGCGGTTAGGTTACGAATACTGGTTGTTGATTGGCTACGAATGATAGTTGTTGATTGGCTACGAATGATAGTTGTTGATTGGCTACGAATACTGGTTGTTGATTGGCTACGAATGATAGTTGTTGATTGGCTACGAATACTGGTTGTTGATTGGCTACGAATGATAGTTGTTGATTGGCTACGAATACTGGTTGTTGATTGGCTACGAATACTGGTTGTTGATTGGCTACGAATAGGATGGTTGTTGATTGGCTACGAATACTGGTTGTTGATTGGCTGAAGATACCACATCCCACGGTTGAGTTGCCAAGTGTCACCCTAGAGTGGAAAAAACTCACTACAACTGACCTTATTAATTTTACCCCAAACTCGAGCATATTTTTTTCCCCCTAGCCACAACAGATTTTCCCCCAACATAGAGACGAGATGATAATATTTCACGATGTAAAATAAGGTTCTTTTAGTGTACTGTGGGAACTCAGAGGTGACACAAGGAGGAGTTAGTGAGTTTATATGTGGGTCAGGTGAAGGAAGGTGTCGTGACAGAGTGATGTAGGAAGTATTGATAATTCAAGATAATTACGACGATTCACTTGCTGATAGTAGCCTTAAGGAGAGTTAATGGTTCTCCCGATCATTTACCTACTTTCCGGAGAGTAGTTAGCGTGCATAACTAACTACCTCGTTAGTCGTTTCACATTATGAATTCTTTGATCGTGTATATAATTGGTAGAATACGTAGAAATATACATACATACATACATACAGTCATACGCATACACACACACATACATACATACAGTCATACGCATACACACACAAACACACCTACAGTAACACATAAACACAATAACACACACACAAACATACACATATACCCACACAGTATTACACAAAGACACACACACACAGTCGCACATAAACATACATACACACACACAAACACATACACCCACAGTAACACACATAAGCATAGTCAGTCACTCACTCACACACACACACACACACACACACACACACACACACACACACACACACACACACACACACACACACACACACACACACACACACACAAGGCCCCCTCCGTGGGTGATCGTGTGGGTCAGTGTAGAGCCTAATTACTAGTGTCTGGCTGTGCTTGCTGGCTGTCTCGCGCGCTAACACTGAGGCCCTACACTGTACACTGAGATCCTACACTGTACACTGAGACCCTACACTGCACACTGAGACCCTACACTGAACACTGAGACCCTACACTGTACACTGAGACCCTGTACACTGAACACTGAGGCCCTACACTGAACACTGATACCCCTATACTGTACACTGAGACCCTACACTGAACACTGAGACCCTACACTGAACACTGAGACCCTACACTGAACACTGAGGCCCTACACTGAACACTGAGGCCCTACACTGAACACTGAGACCCTACACTGTACACTGAGACCCTGAACATTGAGGCCCTACACTGTACACTGAGACCCTACACTGAACACTGAGACCCTATACTGCACACTGAGACCCTACTGAACACTGAGGCCCTACACTGAACACTGAGGCCCTACACTGTACACTGAGGCCCTCACACTGAACATTGAGGCCCTACACTGTACACTGAGACCCTACACTGAACACTGAGGCCCTACACTGAACACTGAGACCCTACACTGTACACTGAGGCCCCTACACTGAACATTGAGGCCCCTACACTGTACACTGAGACCCCTACACTGAACACTGAGACCTATACTGTACACTGAGGCCCTACACTGAACACTGAGGCCCTACACACTGAACACTGAGACCTACACTGTACACTGAGGCCCTACACTGAACATTGAGGCCCTACACTGTACACTGAGACCCTACACTGAACACTGAGACCCTATACTGTACACTGAGACCCTACACTGAACACCAAGGCCCTACACTGTACACTGAGACCCTATACCGAACACTGAGACCCTACACTGAACACTGAGACTATACTGTACACTGAAACCCCATACTGTACACTGAGACCCTATAATGAACAGAGACCCTATATTGAACACAGAGACCCTATACTGAACACTGAGACTATTCTGAACACTGGGACTATACTGTACACTGAGACCCTATACTGAACAGAGACCCTATATTGAACACTGAGACTATTCTGAACACTGGGACTATACTGTACACTGAGACCCTATACTGTATTATACTGACTCCCATAACTAACAACAACACATAGTACAACATAACACCAATAACTACAACCAATTTATATCAACAATAACAAAAATAATTACAACCACGAAATTATATCAATAACAACAATAATAAAATCACCAATAACAACAATAATAACTGCAACGATAACAACAATAACAATAATATCTACAACAACATTAATCAAAACCACAACAGCTACAATAACAACCACAACTTATAATAAACACCAGAAACAGCTAACAATAACAAAAAAATTACAAAAACTTATATGAAAAATAACTTCGTAATATCAATAACATCAAAACAATAACACAACAAAATTACAAAAACAACACCATTAACTAAAAAATAACAACAATAACAAATAAATCAATTACAATCACAACAATTACAACCTCTACATTACACACAAGGGAATAAATAACGTGTATCTATTAAATCACATAGAAGTAGATAAATAACTAAATAAATACTACATAAAATACACCCACCCACATACATAAATACACACAGACACACATACATACAGTACATACACACAGACACACACACAGACACACACACACACACTACCAGGTCCAAGGGGAGGGGGGGAATTCATCTCCTACCCTGGAAGTTTAAAGTCCAATAAAAACAAAGTAGAGAGGAAAGTAACATGAAAGAATTGCATCAGGAGGCACCTCATGTTGGTACAGTCCCCTACCAATTATACCGAGAGGGAGATAGGTCACGTTGGAACAAATTGCAGAGTGATGGTGATGGTGGTGGTGGTGGGTCAATGTTAGCAAGGTATTGTGTGTGTGTGAAAGGAATGAGGCAAAGTAATAATAATAATAATAATAATAATAATAATAATAAATAATAATAATAATAATAATAATAGGCAACAGTAAAAAATGACAATAATAACAATAAGTTGAACAATAATTCAGCCTTTAGTTATAACCAACAAACCTACGGCATTTCACTTACTCATCAGTCCTGTCTATCAAATTACTGACCTCTGACCTCCAGGAACGCAGCCAACCAAACACTTTTTTCTGACCTTGACATCTTTCCTGCAGTAAACACAGTATTGAGCATCGTTTACCAATACATTGTGACATTTATGAGATACGATGATTAAATCTCCATGAAACTCGAGGAGAGAATTGATCAGATCACTAAAATTCGCTATCTGGATATAACGAAAGATTGATAGTCTTTATAGTGTACCACAATGAAGTACAGGACGGCCATAATTCAGGAATATATGGATTACTGTACCCCGTCTGAGGTCTTGTGATTACTGTACCCCGTCTGAGGTCTTGTGATTACTGTACCCCGTCTGAGGTCTTGTGATTACTGTACCCCGTCTGAGGTCTTGTGATTACTGTACCCCGTCTGAGGTCTTGTCATTACTGTATCCCGTCTGAGGTCTTGTCATTACTGTACCCCGTCTGAGGTCTTGTCATTACTGTACCCCGTCTGAGGTCTTGTCATTACTGTACCCCGTCTGAGGTCTTGTGATTACTGTATCCCGTCTGAGGTCTTGTCATTACTGTACCCCGTCTGAGGTCTTGTCATTACTGTACCCCGTCTGAGGTCTTGTCATTACTGTACCCCGTCTGAGGTCTTGTCATTACTGTACCCCGTCTGAGGTCTTGTCATTACTGTACCCAGTCTGAGGTCTTGTCATTACTGTACCCTGTCTGAGGTCTTGTCATTACTGTACCCCGTCTGAGGTCTTGTGATTACTGTACCCCGTCTGAGGTCTTGTTATTACTGTACCCCGTCTGAGGTCTTGTGATTACTGTACCCCGTCTGAGGTCTTGTCATTACTGTACCCCGTCTGAGGTCTTGTGATTACTGTATCCCGTCTGAGGTCTTGTGATTACTGTACCCCGTCTGAGGTCTTGTCATTACTGTACCCCGTCTGAGGTCTTGTCATTACTGTACCCCGTCTGAGGTCTTGTCATTACTGTATCCCGTCTGAGGTCTTGTCATTACTGTATCCCGTCTGAGGTCTTGTCATTACTGTACCCCGTCTGTAGTCTTGTTTACAACTCCTGGACCGACGGACGCATGGATGGACGAACAGTAAGCATGTGTCAGAGCCTTCCTCCAGGGACAGAGGTGGAGAATGGTCGGGTACAATAACGTTGTACCGTGTGTCAGGACAACGCACCCACCGGTTTCTTTATGGGTCATTTCCTCGGTTAAGAATGTGGTCCGAAACTATTTAGGAGAGCTAGTGTGTGCACAGGAGACGTTAAGAGTTTATATTAAGGATCCCAAAATCATAAACACCATGTCAGCTGTGAACATTTATGGTGACCCCTGGGGAGAAAATTCCACCTGGGGAGATGTACCCAAA